AATTGTAGCCTGCTACTTCCCTAATAAACCTCATAATCGTGAGTATTGTCTGAGTTCTGTGTGGCCACTGCAATGGATTATCCAACCCAGCAGAGAAGCAGTGAGTGCCTTGGAAGGGACAGCTGGTGTCAGAGTTGGTAAAAAGGCCAGAGCGTGGTGGCATGTCTGGTGGCCTCATAGGAATAAGGCTTGGGCTGCTGATGGTGATTCTGTCTCCCTCTTGTGAAGTCAGAGGAAGTGAGATGAGGATGACACCCCAACATCCTTTTTGCATTTACCAAAGTCCAAACATTTATTGAAGACCTAAGCACAATGCCACACACCAAGTGAAGTGCCAAGGATCTAAAAAGTGGTATAATTCACCTACTTTTTAGAAATGTATTAATTCATATGCCATTTTCTATTTTTTTCTAGTTGGATAGCAATGAATCTATTGAATTTTAACTACCCACAAATCATTATTTTTTAAAACTAAGACAAACATACTAAAGGAGTTAATGTTGAAATGCGTGCTAAGAATGTGGTTAAGAATGACATACACAATCTCAAACTCGTAATGCAAACCTACTATATATTGCAATGCAAATTTAATCTAGCCAATAAAACGTTTTATTTTAAAAGAAAGCGCTCACAGAACAGCAGATATTCTTTTTTGATTAATAATACAGTATATCCTACAAACAACCCTATAATTTTACGACATAGGCACATTGGCTAATCTTAATGGTCAAAAATGAGTGCTTATTTACCCAATATCCACAACCGTTTTACTATGAAGCTACAGATCTAAAAGCCATTAATGATATCAACTGGCTCTGTTTCAGAATTTTATTTTGGTCCACCAGTAAGGAATCATACTCAGCAGATATAAGAGGCGGCAAAGTAGAAAACCAAAGTAAAGGAGGGTACAAATTGTGTAATAACACAAGTAACATGAACAATGGACAATACAACTACAATACTGAAATGACTTTTGTCATAAGATACACAAACTGCACATTACTTTTAGTAGTAGAATACTCAGGAATGTATAGGTAAGAATTAATACTGACATGTAAACACAACCACCAAGTTGAGTACTTCCCTCTAGGGGAATGATCCCATTAACCAATATTATGCCACGACCACCAAAATGGTAGTGCAGCAGAGGAGGTATAAAGAATTTTATGGATTGAGATAGGCTCAGTTTTTAGAATAGTTATGTGATTGCATACAATTTATTTCTTTGTCTTTTGAGTTCTCTAAAAAACAACCAAAAATATCTGGCAGATTTGTTTTGAGAAATTAAGTAAGCATACTCCCCAAAACAAACCAATATCCCCTTGTCCAAACCTTAAACTTACTTCCAGGTTTTTGAAGCATAAAAAGAGAACGCATAACACAGCAAGCAAGGAGAAATTATAGAAATGTTGCCACATTACACATATTTCATAACAATTTCTTTAAAAGAAACCAGTGTCATCCATTGTGTCGGTTTGTGACAGGTATTTTTAGAGGTTATTCTAAGTAAGCAGAATATTTTTTCCCATGGATCTTAGTTTAATGAATTTTCCAGGGCTAAGGAATCTACTAAATAAAAGAAGTAAAGAATTTTTTTTTTGTTTACTTAGGCATGATGATTTTAAAAGGTTCAAACCTTTGCTGAAGACTCCTTGAGTTCGTTGAGACTGTCCTGTAGAAAATGAATGGAGATGACAGGTGAGCTGGTATAGTTCTCAGAACCCAGAAGAACTTTGGGAGGTGTGGCTGTAACCTGGAAATAAACCAGCTACTTCTTGTGAGGATAAATCTAGTGATGTCATTATCACATGAATATCAACAATAAAAACAAAACAAAACCATGTAATGGAATTGTAATGTTGAAAAAAAATGAAATTGTACATATTCAATGTAACAAAAATCTTTTTCTGCTCAGATTTTTAAAATGTATGTCAATGCCACATTGTCCACAACTTAAGCTACAGATAACAATAAGAGGTTTACGAAAGCAAAGCATCTTTTCTCCACAAAAAGTGTTATAAAACAGTGGAGATAGATCACTGTGGAAGAACAATATTGTCTTATATTTTCAGTTTTTCTTTAATTGGGAGTCTTCAAAGTTTATTTTACTTATGACTCTAATATAAATACGTACTTAAAAAAAAATCCTAGCTAGAAAACTTAGTGGCATTAACAAGAAAATAAAATATATTGTATAAAAAAGTAATCACTTTTTTTATTTTTTGCAAAGTGCCTATGATAGTGAATTTCACACCTCCCATGAAGGGGGGAGGGCATTTAAAACAAAAGAAAGAAAAAGAAATCAATTACAGTATTCCACCAGTGCTCTTGATGAAGAATTAGTAACTTACAGTTTAAAAGTTCAACGTACTGCAAATTCAAAGATTCCATGAAATTAGATGACTTTAGAATTAAAATTAAATATGGAACAAGGAATGGCTACCCTGAGTCTTCAAGAAGGCTACACCCACGATTTTGTGCTGCAGTTGAATGCCTGGGGTTTCTCTTTGCTGGGTGGTAGGACTGGATGCCACATCTGCTTTTATCGTAACGCAAGGTTCAACTTGTTGGGAACACAATGGGTATAAACAAACCTCCAAAGGAAGATACAACAGAAGCTGCATGCTCACTGAATATACACAACTACAGGAGAACTGATCACCAAGGAGACTTTAAACGGAACTCCTTTCAAGACTCCTTCTTAGAAGGCACACATCGGTAGGATGCTCATCAAGAAGCTTGATGAAATCAGAGGTATCTTGTTATCCTGTATCATCCAGGAAGTCTTCAGTGCTATATATTCTTCAATATTTACGGAGAAAAATAGGCTTCATTCTGCCGAAAAGATTCATTTGCTTGTAGCCACCATTGCACTCCAAAAAAAGACTGCTTAAAGCAGTGAGGCACTTCTGGGTAAAATTTCTCTTGTACTTTGGAACATTATTTACAAAATTAGTGCTAAGTCCTCGGCGTTTTAATATTTTTATAATAAAAATACTCAATAGTAAAAAATATCAGTCCACCAATATAGAAAATATTCATTTTCTAATGCAATATAAAACCTCCAGTGGCTCCAGTGAATACTTGGCACAAGACTTGAAGGAAGTCAGGACACTGGTATTCCAAACAGGTGAGCCTAACATGGACGCTGCCTTCCTCAGGCTATACTAACCTTTACTGTTGAGGAATGTGATGGAGAAGGGTGAGTATCAATTTTGCGACGTTTTTGTTCTGTTAGGACCAAAAAAAAAAAAAAACCAGTCAGAGTAAGGTATAATTCTACCCATTTCTCACTTTTCCCAAACAGAAAAATAACTTTTAAGGTCACCAAGTATTAGTTCCCCTAGCAAAGTCCCTAGATAACTTACCAAAACAAGGAGACAACAATCAACTACATATTAAAACAGTAAAAGACAAATATAAAGAAAGATGAACTTGCCCCTTTCAGGCTCTGCAATATCTGATCGGGGAACAGGGGACTTCAAGGACCCAGAAACTGCTGTTTTTTCTCCTCCTTTAACATTTTCCTTGGATTTCACTTCCTTTGCTATATCTCTTTCTCTGGATGGCTCCTTCTCCCTTTCCTTTTCTTGAGTCGATTTTGATTCTACATTGGGGACAGCGGTCTTGAATTTTTCATCTTTAGCTTTTTCTTCCTTCTTGAACTTTTCTTTCTCTTTGTCAGATTTTGGCGTTCTTTCCTTGGTCTCTCTTGCTTTTTCATCTTTATTTGCCCGTTCTTCCTTTGGCTTTTCTTTACCATCTTTACCAAGTACCCTGGCCTCTGGAGTAGTAGCTGGAGTCTTTTCTTTTTTCTCTTTTTCTTTCTCTTTCCCTTTATCTTTGTCATTTTCTTTAACAGTTTTGCTGCTGAAGAATAAAAATATAAGACTTTGAAACCAACAATCATAACATATATCCCATGTTTAAAATCATAAAGGGTTTCTACTGACTTAAAATTCTAAAACTAAGGGGCATCCTTTGAAAACTAAAGGACATCTTCAAAACAAGTAGAAAGTACATTTCTATATGTTGTTATTGTTATGTGCCAACAAGTCGGACCCGACTCACAGTGATCCCTCCTTGGGTTTCCAAGGCAGTATCACTACAGAAGTAGATCGCCCAATCTTCCTTCCGAGGACTGGCTGGTGGGTTTGAACCGCCAGGCTTCTGATTAGCAGTCAAGTGCCTTAGGCACTACACCACATCTTTATATCTTGTTGTTGTTGTTATGTGCCGTCGAGTCAGACCTGACTCACAGCGACCCCTCCTTGGGTTTCCAAGGCAGTATCACTACGGAAGTAGATTGCCCCATCTTCCTTCCAAGGAGTGGCTGGTGGGTTTGAACCGCCAGCCTTCTGATTAGCAGTCAAGTGCCTTAGCCACTATGCTACCAGAGTACCATCTTTATATAGTAGGTACTAAATAAACAAATATATGAAAAGTAGATTTAATAGAATGATTAAAGTGATTCCAGGTTTTTTTTTGTTTTTTTTTTTTTTGAGGGGGTATATATTCATAACCTTTGAGGATAATAACGTAATAGTAACAACCAAAAATATATCCCACAAACCAACCAATAGTGTTACTATCAGAAAATGGATTACATAGCTAGAGATGACTTATCTAAATTAGTGTAATTATTCTTATCCAGATTGTATACAGCAATCACTTAATCATAAAATTTTGGTTTGCTTTTTTTCCCTTCACCACCTACTTTCTCCTGCACGTCCTAGCAGGGAAAACTGTACTTCAACATTATACAAACTATAATTAGCAGAGTAAAAGCATCAGCAAAGTAAGGACATATACCAAATTTCAGTCTACCATAAATGATTTTCTCTTACTCAACTACCACTCCCTTCCATTCATGGTAATGGCATTAATCATGTCAGAATTTAGAATTTTAAGATATGGCAGTGCTCCTACCTGTTAGAGCCACTATTTCCATTGTTTGAATTCCCTTTTGGTGTGGCATTAGAAGCTTTATTAACAGCTTTCACACCACACTGAGATCTCTCCCTTGATTTATCTGAAATAAAGGTAAGGTTTTATTTGACAAGCCCCTATATTTTAATAAATTACAATTTCACAGTAAAAGGATTAGAGATTAATTAGAAAGAAACAACAGACTGACTTTTTCCTTGACGGTTACATACTCCTACCAAGGTAATTTAAAAAGTAATACTAAATCAGCATTTAATTTGTAATGATACAAAATATTTCACTTTGTTGAAGAAAAATGTATTACTTTTAAATCTCGACAAATAAGCATACCAGTCTCCTCAGCACTGCTTTCGTCCGATTTAGATGTACTTCCTAGCGATGTTGAAGAAGGCCCACAACCAGGCCCGTTTTGCACACTGGCAACTGCGTTCCTCGGAGGAGGGTCTTTGTGATGAAACTCATTTTCAGGTATCATGTATGATTTTCTACTTTTCAACTGCCCAGAGTAGCTGAAAGTCGCACAAAGTGTTTAAATATACAAGCACAAATCAAAAAGTACAAACATGGGGTTTAAAAGAATTAATTTAGCAAGTTATACACTTGGCTACTTGGTTCCAGAGAATAAAAATACTAATTTTTCAGCATTCTTGGAAGTCTTTATAGAGAACCCTAGATATTTTGTTTAAAAATAAAAGGCTACTTGGTTCCAGAGAATAAAAATACTAATTTTTCAGCATTCTTGGAAGTCTTTATAGAGAACCCTAGATATTTTGTTTAAAAATAAAAATCTCAATGTAACTAATACTTAAGCTTTTTTTTTCGTTACTGAAGATCTGATAACTCAACTGATGATAAAACTAAAGACTTCTTTCAGCTAACACATATTAAATATGAGTTTTGAAACTATCATCCAGTATAGACCGGAAGTTGATAATGAGAAGTGACAACTCTCACCAGCCTGTGGGAACATGATCGCATAATCTCCCATAATCTCCTGAAATAAGGCAGAAGATAAACTTCAACACTGTAAAACATTTTGAAGTCTTCAGAATCCTTTTGTCATCTACTCTCATAAATCACATTAAAATAAGATTGTGTTACCCCATAGCCAATGCATATAGATCAGGCCTCTTCTCTTTTTCTTCCTGGTAGATTTTATGTACTCTTCTTTCCAAAGCCTGGCCCAGATTCAAAACTTTTGGGTACCAAGGAAGTATTTTTGTTAGCACAATCAAGATATTTCTGATGTGAGTATATTCGCCTGTTTCAAGGCAATGTACTGATGCCTACAACAAAAATTTTAAGATCCATTATTTTTAACGTGTAAGCACGAAGGGAAAAAAAACCTATACCTTTGAAAAACCTAATGTTTCAAAAAAAAAATCTTTTTTTTTTTTCCCTCTTTTACCTTGGTTAGTTTGTAATGCCATTTATGTACAACATGTCGAAAATTTTCATAGTCTAATTGATCAGCTTTATTTCCACCATCAAATCCAGTTGCCCGCAATATGGTAAGGAATCCTGGATAGTTTCCACATTCCTTGGGGGAGGGGGAAGGAGGAGAGAATGTCACTTTTAAACAAAAATCTGGTCCTACTAAACAGCAGAAGCTGAAACTTAAGCATTATTAAGAATAATAGTTCTGTGTGAAAATATGTGTATTTTGAGAGTAGGTACTTTTCACATAAAGGCTCAGCTTAGCTATTGAAATTAATTTGGAATGCCAGTTCGATACAGGATTAAAAAGTATAGCACTTCTTAAATACTGTTTGACAACTGAATGTTAAACTCATCTTTTAAAATTGAGTAGCCTAGACATTACTGGAAATACTCTTGTCTTAGGTGACTATATGGGAATTTTTCAGTCAAACCTTTTCATATGTAGCTCTATCACTATGCCACCTGGTCACAGTCTCTAACATGCAGCAAAGAAATCTCCCGTATCGACTAGCTTCGTTTTCAGTACAGCTTGCGACCGTGTATATTATGTCAGAGAAAACCTACAGGGAAAAAAATGATTGAAAAATAAAAACAAATCAAGGTCAAAATTAGTTCAAAACTTACAAGATCATTTTATAGCAAATCATAATAAGTTAAACAGGTAAATTTGGTTCATGTCAATTTTACACTTTTATATTCAGACTTGCAGAGACCTTTGGAGAGTATAGGTTTTGGGGAAAAACAGTACATTCATAAGGCAACTCGAAAAACTTTTATATAGAAAACTGCTTTACAATGACAGAAGAAAAATTATTATCATTATTACACAATATCATAACTTCTTTACCAAAGATTTCGCCATAGATATTACTAGGGCCTGGAGAACAGTATGCAGAGGCGAGGATGACAGAAACTAGAAATCAGCAGCGGACATGCTGTAACAAAATATTACATTTTTAAACTACAAAATGCAGTAATTTATTATTAAGTCAGGTATAAAATCTGTTAATGTGACCATACTGAAAAGCTTCATTGCTTTTATGTATGTGTGAAAGTGTAAGCTTTTTGTTGTTGTTGTTGTTGTTTGAGGGGGTGGGGATTAAGAACAGAAGACATTATATAACATACAAACCTAAATGCAGAGATAATATCTTAGCCTTGAATGCTTATTATGTATCAGGTACTATTAAAAGTACTTTTATGTACAGTGACTCATTTAATCCTACCAAAAATCTTAAGAAGAGCAGGTACTATAACCCCATTCTACAGATAAGAAAACTGAGGCACAGAGAGGTTAAATAACTTGCCATAGATCATATAGGTAGAAAGTGGCAGAGGTAAGATTCAAGTTCAGACACTTGGTTCTTGAGTTCATGCTTTTACCCACGTATGCAGTAACACCTCTATAGATTAGAACATTTAGCTATTATAAAGGTTA